ATATATATGTATACAGAATCTGTGTTAGATTGCAGCTCTCTTTATCCAGGGACCCCCTGTCTGACTTGAAATGAGAGAGTGTGAGGAGGAGAGCAGAGGTAGGAGTCAGGGAGAAAAAAAGCAGCTATTTTTAGACTCGTGTTGCCGTAGTGCATGGATAGGGGCTTGAAGGAGTTTACCTATGAATTTAAAAAAGGATTTGGGTGAAGCCACGACAATACTAATGTGGGAACCGAGTTTACTGTGAAAGTAAATTCAAAGAAAGTGTCATATTTATACCTGGTTACATTAACTTCTTTATGTATTTTTTTAATGTTCTGTTGCCTCAGATGCAGGATTATGTTGGTGCAGTTATTGAGCATTTCTCAAGCCAATCTAATGATCCTTACAATGACTGACATGGCCCTGAGTCATATAGATCTCCTATGAAACCTTTCTATAAATATTCTGCTAAACCCCCACAGGGCTTGTTGTGACCCTGGTTTGTTAGTAACTATTGACTACAACTAACACAAAAAGCTGACTTAGTACACTTGAACACCATGTGTGTCCCTGTGTGCAAACAAACATGACTCATTATTGCCAACGTGCACTCCGAAGTCTTATGCTGCTTCCCCGTGAAGATTTGTGCTGTCTGCAGTAAGACTGCGACATTCGTATCAATCACTGCAAATGTGTGCTCGGGGAAAATGCAGCCATTTCGGCTTGATGTGTGTGCCACGTTTCAGGTGCCTGACCTGTTTAATCCTCTCTCTCTGTCGACAGAGGGTGAGCCGATTGAAGCCATAGCCAAGTTCGACTACGTCGGGCGCTCCTCTCGCGAGCTATCCTTCAAGAAGGGCGCCTCACTGCTGCTTTATCAACGAGCGTCTGAGGACTGGTGGGAGGGAAGGCACAACGGCATCGATGGCCTGGTGCCACACCAGTACATCGTAGTTCAGGACATGTGAGTGGTTGTTTTCTCAGAAATAAACACRTATAGCATGTAGTTGTACAGCGATTCACGAATTTCTGCAGAAATTTGTATTTAAAGGGATCCATGATTAGTTGTAACATTAGAATTTATTTAATAAACAAATATTTTTAACTGTAAAATAAAGACTGTAAAAATACTGTAGGCTGTTTAGTTTTTATAATTTTTAAACTAAAAGTTTAAAAATATATTACACGGACGGAGCCATTTTATTTACACGCAAAGCATTCTGGGTAAATGATGACGTGAATACGTCTTTGGTGCGAGGCTGCTAGCGAGCTATATCCACGCTGAAGGTTAATCTTGGACAATATCTGATGATTGGCTCTTTTAAATGAAACCAGAGCGTTGACAGAGAGGAGAAGGTAGAAATGACTCAGCCTGTAACTGAAAATATAGATGGAGGACAACAGAGCTGCTTCATGGAAGAAGAACCTCAGCTTAGCCTGTTAGCTTTAGCGTTAGCCCCGATGCTATCACCATATATATGTATTAGCTCAGCGCTACACATTCTCCTCTCATCACTGAGGTCCTCCATCCACATGACAGAGAGGGGAACACAAAAATGACTCAGCCTGCAACTGAAAATATGGATGGGGGACCTCAGTTTAGCTTGTTAGTTTGTCGCGCTAGCGCTGAGCTAATACATATAAGGCAGTATTGCATCGACGCTAGCACAAAGACTAACAGGCTAAGCTGAGGTTCTTCTTCCATGAAGCAGCTCTGTTGTCCTCCATCCATATTTTCATTTACAGACTGAGTCATTTCTACCTTCTCCTCTGTCAACGCTCTCTGGATTCATGTAAAACATCCAATCGTCAGATATTGAACAAGATTAACCTTCAGGGTGGATATAGCTCTCTAGCAGCCTTGCACCGATGACCTATCCATGTCATCAGTTACCCAGAATGTTTTGCGTGTAAATAAAATGGCTCCGCCCGTGTTAAAATATATTTTAAAAATTATAAAAACTGAACAGCCTACAGTATTTTTACAGTCTTTATTTTACAGTTAAAATAAATTTTTTATTAAATAAAGTCTAATGTTACAACTAATTAGGAATCCCTTTAAGGAAACATAAACATATGGGAAACAACTTGTGCAAATTTTGTTTCTTATGCTTTTTCTTGGGCCTGTCTTTGTGACATTGCAATAACAACCTTTAAATATAAAGTGAAAACTGTTACATAAAACTCAGTCTTGCAGTGCATTTCTCTTGCTTTGTATGCAAATAGAAGAGTCTCGTCATGCACAGAGCTTAGATGCTCAGTGAATATTAACTAGTCAAGTCACCTCTAATGACCTAACTACTTAAGGTGGGAAGTTTTAAAGGATGAATTTGACATTTAGAAAGTATGCTAATTTGCTTTCATGCCAAGATTCTGCCCATACAGAAATTTTGAATTTACTGCCTGTCTTTTTTTGTCTTTTATCAACTCCTTTTTGTCAGGCAACCAGCCTTATTCATTCTAAAATGTTAAAGTGCCTGTGACATCAAATTTTATAATAAATATGAATGTATTTTTGGAAAGATAACATTGATAACATTTTGTAAAAAAGATTCCATGCCGCTGAGATGAACAGTTGTTGAGATATTTGCATGTGAAGAAACAGGAAATGATGTCAAAGGGGAATGTCTGAATGTGAATAGAGCGTTGCTAAAATGGCTAACAGCACAGACTGTAGAGAAGAATCTGATGCTTCTTTAGATTATTTAAATCACTATTATAGAGAGATGAGAAAGAGTCAGAGTTCAAATAATAATGTTTCAATAAACAAAAACCAGGGAGTTTTCTTTCTCAAAGCGTTCCCCTTTGATGTCACTTCCTGTTTCACTTTAACTGAGCAAAATTCAAAAGAAAATATGCCAATTATGTGACAAACAGGTCAAATCATGTGTATTATGCCAAGTTTCTTAAATATAAATATATTTTCTTTGACTTTTTGTATTTCATGGAGGTGCATGTCACAGGCACTTTAAGGCATTCCATTGAATTGAAAACATGCATTTAAAATATTACTGTAAACACACATGTAGTGTTTTCACAGTTGTGTGTATTCAACTAAATGTCTCCCTTCGGGTTCAACATGTAACTCGTCCTTTTTAACTTTGCTCCATGAGAAGCTGCGAGCCAATCGTTTGACTGAAGGGTCATGCGTAGAGGACTTTCAGCCTCATTTGTCTTGCCCGCTGCTCTCATCCCTGCTCATCTGTGGAGTGTTCTCCATCTCGGGGGGCTTTACCAGCCCTGCTGTCACTGTCTCGTGCTCTCATCGCTAACAAGCATGCACTCTGCCTTAGCAAGCGTTGGTGCCTAATGGACCGGATTCACTGTCTCGTTAGGAGCGGAACAAAATCACCCCAATCACTTAGCGTCCGCCAGACAAAACGGACATTTCAAATTTCCTTTTGGTCTTTCCTGATTTCCTGTCTGGCCTGCTGCTGTCCCGTCAGCATGCTTCGTATCAATAATTCACCAGTAGGGTCCATCGCTGATGGAGTCTCCTTTTAGTTAATGRAACCTGCTGCAGTACAGGGTGTCCCCAAGTGTTGGAGCATTCCTCTCTTGCTAAGCAGCTGGATGAGGAATGTGTGAGCCTCACTTGTCCCGTATAAGAGCTCGGAATAAAACATGCAGCGTTAAAGATATTTTAAAGGGGACCTATTATGCAAAATTCACTTTTTAAAGTTTTTTTTAACTCAACTTTGGGTATGTACTTCTTAAAAAAAACAGTCCTAGGACCAAAAAAATGCACCCAGGGGCATATTTACTGTAAGTAAGGCAATGGGTAGAGTGTTGGACCAGAGAGTGGGAGACCAGGGTTCGAGACTAACATGGACACTATTTAATTATTTATTTATTTTTCGTTGGTTATGAACACGTTTTCTCATGTACCTCTATTGTTTAGCTTATTAAAGCCTTGTTAAAGCCTATTTGTTCGAGTTTCTGAGGTATTTTGACCRCTGYTGCTCCCTGCTCTGGTAACAGCATGCAGAGTGAGCACAGAGCAGAGGAGGGAGAAAAAAAAAGAAGCTGCGACAACGACTCTGTCTCTGGGTCTCTCATATGGTTGTACAACGGAGCTCCTGCTATTATTAGCCATGCTAATGTAAACGCTGGCTTGGGAGGGCGGAGTTAATGTCAACAGGTTTTTGGAGGGCGTTACCAACAGAGCTCATTAACATAAACAGCTCTTCTGAATGGAAGTCAGAGCAGGCAGAACTAGAAAATGGGAAATTTTATTATCCGAGAATTATTTTCTGCATTAAATTGAATGAACATGGTCTGGATAGCCCACAGACACACCATAAAAATTTCTAGGACCCATAATTGGTCTCCTTTAAGAGTTTTTTAGCGTAAGAATCTCTCCAAACTTGACTTTCAAGGCATTCAGGTTTCACTGTCTGTTTTAAAGTTACCCTTGGAGCTAACCGTCCTTGTTCTGTTGCTGTGTGTGCAGCCATGCCTGAAAAAGACGACTGTCTTTTATCTGGCCTAATCCGTATCATCAGATGCAGCAGTGCAGCTCAGTACGTCTGATTACTGCCACCTGACAGAGACCAACTGTCACATACCTCACTGAGTCCCATCCAGCTATCGTGTCTGCCTCTGCGTGTGTGTGTGCACGTCATTACCACAATGCATCACCAGAATACCCAGAGCACCGTGACTCATCTGACCCCCCCGGACCTCGGAAGCCAGAGGACACACGCTGACTCACAGGAAAGAGGATATCAAACGCCGTTATTGGAGAACTGCAAAAATGAAAGAGCAGCTGATTTGCTGAGTTTCCTTTTTGCTGTCCTGTTGGGTTCGTCTGCCCCTTCCTCTTGGTCATTCCGTGCCTCAATGTCACTCTGCCTCTGCTTCACAGTGATGACAGTTTCTCAGACACTCTGAGCCAGAAGACTGACAGCGAGGCAAGCAGCGGCCATGGCGGAGAGGAGAAATGCTCGGGGAAGGACACCAGCTCCCCCACTGATGCCAGGATCTCTGAGGCCTACATCACCAGGTACACGTCTGCACTGCCAAAAAAATGGAAAATAATTTTAGAAAGTAAAATACGTTTGAAGGAGAATTTTGAAGCTGATGACAAAAAGTGCCCAAAAAATTTATAAAGGCTCAAGGTGTGTAATTTGTTATGGAAAAATGCAAAACCACCTTACAAATCTATCTCATCTCATCTTGCAAAAAATGTCCACCTAACCAAGTTTTAAAATCTCATATTCAGCCAAAAAGTCTTTTTGATCTTGTTTTGAGACTGATTTACCAAACAAGAACTGATTATGTAAGAATAATAATCTTGTTTTCAGAATGTGTAAGATTATTTGTCTTGTTAGTCTGAAAATTTGACTCAAATTAAGTCAAAGATTTCTGTCAATGGAGTAAGGAAAGTTTACTTGGTAAAATCCTTGAAATACTTGATTTGACTAAATTTTTTCTTATTTCAATGATCTTACCAAGTAAAATTTTCTTACTCCATTGGCAGAAATTTTTGACTTAATTTGAGTCAAATTTTCAGACTAACAAGACAAATAATCTTACACATTCTGAAAACAAGATTATTATTCTTACACAACCAGTTCTTGTTTAGTAAACCAGTCTCAAAACAAGATCAAAAAGACTTTTTGGCTGGATTTAAGATTTTAAAACTTGGTAAGATGGACAGTTTTTGCAGTCTGTCTCATATCTCTCAGCCGAATTGCCATTGCTGAACTTAATTATATCCCCTCTATCTATCAGCTGTTTCCTGACAGTTCCCTTTTTATGTTATGTAAGTATTCATTAAGTATTTCAGTCGTCCACCTGGAGGAATAGCACTCTTAGATGACACATGCATATCTGATTGCACCTCAGTGTTTTTGGCAGCGTTTCCTGGTTGCCTGCCAGTATTTAGTCTCCTCTCCTCGGTGCGTTTCTGCAGGTGGATTTTCGTGACCTTGAAAACGTCTGAGTAGTTCTCGCTCTTGCCAAACAAATGAACTGCTTTTATATTCCGAGCCACACTCGTTCCCTCTTCTTCAGCGTTGAAATGTTGATGATTCATGGTAGAGCCAATATTTACTCCACTGTTGTGCTGAGAAAAAAAGGCCACGTCTGAATAAAGCAATCCTTTTAACATTAACTTTAATGAACATCGTAATACTCTGTCTGCATCACTCTTCMTGCCACCTTGTCCCAGATGATCCCCACCTCTTATTCTGCTTCTCTTGTCTATCCACACTCACTTTGTGCTCTTCCATCCAGACAACACCCCCCCCAAGTGTTGAATCATTTATACCCCAAGCTTTATTTAGATATTTTCCTCTCCTGGTGTTCTTGTTCACAAGTACTGTCTCCAAGTGGGTCTCTTCATGTCAGCGTATCTACAACCAAACAGCGCTTGTTAGAGAAGATGCACATTTGTATGAATAAAATGACCGGGTCAGTTTTATGGTTTGACAAAAATGGAACTTTTAGATCGCCACCTGGCTTGTGTCATGTTATTAGGCAAAGGCAAATTAGGCAAGAGGGTGAGATGTCAGTGTGGTGGAGTTAAGTGGCACTGTTTTCTGTTTGTCGTTGAACACTTTGTCCCTGAGGAAGGTTGTTGTTAGGAAAGTAAATTGCTCCACCTGCAGTTTGTGGGTGGTTAGTGCTCGTGAGTGGTCAGAAAAACATACGTATAGTCCTTATTTTGAATAAAATTTAAAATCAGATATTAGCTTTGATCAATCTGAGGTGGTCTTAATAAATCTTCGAATACTGATCGATAGTTTTTACTTATAAAAATGAAGCAGCTGCGAAAAATTTTGGCTTTCTGGAACGAGCTCCAGTCATATTTTTCAAAGCTCTCGCAGCTCTTTCCTTCCAAACTCGTTATTGCTTTTTTGTGCTGCGAAGTAATGAAGCTGCTTGTAAATCCTAATCATGGCYGAGACAGCAGTCATTAGGCAGACGTAAACCCCCAAATTGAAGCCATTTATCTTCAAGAAATGATTAGGGGATGAGTAATTCACTTCTCGCTTGTCACTGAGAGCCAATTAAAACTATTGATCTGACATACTTGTTTCCAGATATCGTTGCTTTAATATTTGATGCTGTTGCCTTTTTTCAGAAGATTTAATTATATGAAAATAACTGTAATAGAAAGGTAATCTCGATTTTTATGCTAATCAAATTCTGCTTCCTAAATTGTGTTTGTACGTATCTGTTCAGTCATTAGCTGCTTGTGTAAATGATGACAGTGATAACAGCAACTCTGATTAAACATTAAAGACTTTGTGTTGCTGGTAATAAAATTATAAAGCTTATTGAAGTCATACTTAGATGAAGTTGTTGCTCTATTTGCCTTTTATGGAGCAATAGGAATTCTCCAGGGGAGATTATACTGTTGTTGCAGTCTCATGCAGAGTCGGTATGAGTTTGACGAAATATAAGATCCTTTAGTCAGAGTTWTAAAGGTGTGTACGGTGTATCATGCTTCAGGTTCAGACAGAGGACAGTTGTACTTCTTTGGCAGCTGCAGCTTCTCCCAGGAAGTATGTGTTTTAGTGCTCTAATGAACCCCAGACCTTCATCTGGCTAACAGCCAGACCTCCTCTACAAAGTAACCCTAATGGAGAACAGAGGGGTACTACACAAAATAAAAGGGTTAGCTGGAGCTTCTTAAACCACTGTTTTAAAACTATTATTTTAATAGTACCATTTTTCTTTGCCATACATAGTTAGTGTTTTATGATATTTGTTTTTATTGTTACTCCTATTTCCTTCTSTGTGGCAGAAGTTTACAACCCCTAAATGCACAAAGGAGCGTTACCACAGATCCTTCCTCCCAGCAGCTGTTAGACTCTATAACCATCACTGCTCCCAATAATCTCGATAAGCATCCATGTTTGTGTTTGCACATTMAACAACTCTATCTGTACACTTTATTGCATACCTCTCAACTCTATTGCACATCCCCTCGGATCATGAGTCTGTCATGACTGGTTTTTTTTGTATTTTTTTCTGCACCGTATCTTATTTTTATTTTATGTCATCATTATAGCCTTGTACAGTAATTTTTTTTTATTTTTTATTTTTATTATTATTATCTTAATTCTACTATTATTGCTACTGGTGATACTGTCACATATTGCAGGTCCTCGGTGTGAGCGAGCTATATCCACCCTGAAGGTTAATCTTGGACAACATCTGACGATCGGCTCTTTTAAATGAARCCAGAGAGCGTTGACAGAGAGGAGAAGGTATAACGCTAAAGCTAACAGGTTAAGCTGAGGTTCTTCTTCCATGAAGCAGCTCTGTTGTCCTCCATCTATATTTTCAGTTCCAGGCTGAGTCATTTCTATCTTCTCCTCTCTGTCAACGCTCTCTGGTTTCATTTAAAAGAGTCGATCATCAGATATTGTCCAAGATTAACCTTCAGGGTGGATATAGATGGCTAGCGGCCTCGCACCGAGGACCTATCCACGTCATTTACCCAGAATGCTTTGTGTGTAAATAAAATGGCCCTGCCTGTGTAATATATTTTTTAACTTTTAGTTTAAAAATTATAAAAACTACAGTATTTTTACAGTCTTTATTTTACAGTTAAAATATATGTTTATCAAATAAAGTCTAATGTTACAACTAATCATGGATCACTTTAAATACATTTTGTTGTGTACTTGGAGTCTCTAGGAGTGCAGAAAAGTTTAATTTAGTCTCTCTCGGTGCTGAGTAGATACCTTTATATTCTGTTTGGGTCATATTTTTCAACCCATTGAGTTTTTGCGACTGAACTGCCAAATAAGGTCTGGTCTTACCAACTACAATTTTGTCATCTACATTCTCCTCTGGCTCCGGGTCGGTTTCTGGCTCCAACATGAAAGGCTGGATGGACAAGTCTTCCATTGTTGACATCTTTTAATTATATCACATTATACTGTAGTAAAATTTGAAATGCTCTGAATAAATATACTGTATCTGCTTACAGTTTATTTGCTTTTGTCKATACTTTTGTTCCAGCAGGCACAGGAAAAGATCTGATCCACCATCTCGTCGGCCCCCCGCCCGCCCTAGCAACGTTCACTGCATGCTGCATTCCTCGCAGCAGGGCCACAGTGGGACTCCAGAGATGGGCTCCCCGGTTCTCGGCCATTTCAGCCCACGGGACATGCTTCGAGGTCACAATCACGTGGACAGCCCTGAGCGGCGGCGCCGAACCGGCCACGGCAGCCTCACGAACATCAGCCGCCACGAATCTCTGAAGAAAATGGAGAGTCCGCCGATCCGCCGCTCCACCTCTTCAGGCCAGTACACGGGCTTCACCGACGGCCATCACCATCATGGCGGCAAGTCCCTGGACCCGGAGACCATCGCACAGGTCAGCGCGGGACGAGCGGCGACCAGACCGCAGCTCCCTCCACCATCAAAGCCCTGCCCCGCCCTGTAAAAACATAGTCAGTCCCTGTCTTCTGCTTCCTCTGGCTGCAACTGTGTCTGTGTGCTAACTCCATGCAAACACTAAACCTCACAGGCAGACAGCAGGGAGCATCACATCATTACTGTAGTTTCATTCATCAAATTGTATWTAAATATCTCCAATTTGACTTGTTTCAAATACAGTTTATATGAAYAGTGAGGCCATTTGTGTAGAGGTTCAGTTAGTGTACAGAGGTRACACGTTCTCACTCCCGACTGGTCAACATATCGACACTTAGTCGGGTGCCATCTGCGTACAATTTTGATGCATCGGGTATAGGGTTGGGCATAATCGTATCGTGTGCCATTAATCGTCAGAAAAACATTAATTATTTTTTGGCACTTGACGATTAATACGATTAATGCCACCAGGCTGAGTCTGCTTGGTGCTCCTCTCCACTTCAAATTTGATGAACATTTAAAAAAAAGTTCTGTAAAATTTGATGTATAGCCTGAAGTCTTATTTTGACACAATTTGGATTTTTATGAAGAGGAAATCTTTCCCACTACCTTTTTTGACAATATTTATTCA